ACTCTAGCCACTCCCACGCCTTCCCGCGCCGGGCGGGGCCGCTCGAGGTCCCGGCGGACAGCCGCGTGTTCGTGCAGGTGTGGACGCGGGGCGTTCCGGGGCGGGAGGCGGGCAGGTTGGGGTGGTGGATCCTGACTACGACACCGCCCCCTTCTCTTGCCCAGGCGGCCTTGGCCCGTCCCTCCCCGCGCTGGGGCCTGGCTCTGCACCACTGCTCGGTAACACCATCCTCGCGCCCGGCCCCAGGGCCCGCCCTGGAGCTGCTGAGCGGGAGCTGCCCGGCCGACTCCTCGGTCGCCTTCCCACCACTGTCGCCGCGTCCTGGTGCTGCCCGCTTTAGCTTCCGCCTGCGTCCCGTTTTCAACGCCTCTGTGCAGTTCCTGCACTGCCAGCTGAGCCGCTGCCGCCGCCGCCGCCTCCCGGGAGCTCACCGGATTCCTGAGCCTCTGACGCTGCCACCGCCGTCGCCGGTGCGCAAGGCCGGGAGTCTGGACCCCTAGGGCTTGTCAGGGGCTGGGCAAGAATGCCTCCAGCGTCTGAGGGCGGAGCCCCTCGGGGTTTGGAGATTTGGGGGTCAAGGCGCTTTGGAACCTGGGGTACGGGTCCCTCGGAGTTGGGGGTAGGCACCGAGTCTCTCTCAGGCTGGGGGCTAGGTGCAGGGAGCTCAAGGGGCCCTTGGGGCTTTGCGCAAGGGCTCTTCAGAGGATAGGGTGTGGGCACTGATTCCCTCATGGGCAGGGCACTGGGATCCCGGTAGGAGGGTCCCTGAGGTCTCTCCAAGGCTGGAATGATTGGATGCAGGAGGCCATTGAGGGGTCACATCTCTGGTTACCTAAAGTTGAGCTTCACAAGTTAGGTGCTCAGAGAGCCAGGTCATGTGACCTCGAAAAGCTGAAATTTGGCGTCCTCTCAAACTGGGCGTCTGGCTGCTTGTATATCTTAGGCTCTGGGCTCAGGGACCCACAAGGGGCCAGTTTCCAGGGGTCTAGTGGTGGACCTCCTGGTTACAAAGAGGGCTGGACACTTAGATCTCTTGGGAGCCCTGCAGCCCTTACGTCCCCGTCCCTTCCCTCCCCACCAGTGTCTGCCTCAGGACGAGGCCTGCGCCAGCGCTGGCAGTAGCAGCGGCGAGAGTCCTGGTGCCGACAGCCTCCACCTGCACACGCTGACGCAGCCCATCGTGGTCACGGTGCCGCGGCCGCCCCCCAGTGAGCGCAGTCCTCCTCCGCTGGGGTCTCTGGGGCTGGGGAACTGGGGTGGAGAGAACCTCTTGGGCCTGGGCCAATCTCAGCGTCGCACTACCCAACAGGGCCTCCCAAGGGCGTTCCCGGCAGAGCCGTACGCCCCGAGCCTCCTGCGCCAGCTCCTGCGGCCCTGGAGCCTGCACCGGTGGTGGCACTGGTTGTGGCCGCCTTCGTACTGGGCGCTGCGCTGGCTGCCGGGCTGGGCCTCATGTGCGCGCAGTCAGGTACCAACCTCCGCCCACCGGGACCTCTGCCAGGCCCCCAGCCTATTCCCGCGCGTCGGGACCCCGGGTCCCGGTGATCCCAGCAGGCGGGGCCTAACCATCCCTAGATCTGCCTCTGCTACTTAGCAACCCCCAGAGGGCGCCCCTGTCCCGGGCCAGCGCGCATCAACCCCTACAGCTCTGCAGCCTACCTCTCCCTTCCAGCGCCTCCACCGTCCGGCCCGCTCCCTAGAGCCTCGCCTAGCGGCCCCCAGCTCAGGATGTCCCAGTGAGGCAAGTAAATTTGTGTGTGTGTGTGTGTGTGTGTGTTTAGGTGTAATGTGGGGGCCGACAGGAGAGCTGGAGGAGGGAGGGAGGTGATAATGATTTCACAGCGCTTTTTCTATGCTAGGCAGCGTTCTAAATGTTTTACGTATATTAACTAATTTAATTCTCATAATAACTCTCCTGTAGATACTATTATAATCCCCACTTTAGAGATGAGAAAAATGAGTCACAAAATTTGGTGGAGCTGGGATTCAAACTCAGGCACTGTAGTGGACTGTGTGCTCTATGTCAGACAGGCACTAGGCTAGGATTCAGGATTCAGATGTAGCATCTTCACGCCTGCGCATGGATAAGAGTGGCCAATGATCAGCTAGGAAGGAAACAGCCGGCGTAGTGCCCTCTTCCTAGCTCAGCCTCGGTCGCACCCTTCCAGGGATGTTGCGCCACTAGCCCGGTTCAGAGACGCACCAGCCACGGCGTCAAGGCCAGGCTCTCAGGACTGGACCAGCTTCTTTCGACCTCGGACCCCAGGGGACCATGATCCCCGCGCCCCGCCTCCTTAACTTCTCCCACCTGGGCTCCAAATAAACATCTGGTCTGACCTGCTGAGTTCTGAAGTCTGCGTGTGCGCTGGGCTAGGGGGCGGGTCGGGGCTAGGGAAGCTGAGGCCTGGGACCAGGACTGCGAGGACTCCGGGCTGGAAGAGATCCAGACTTGAGGGGTGGGTCTTGGGGGCGGGGCTCATACGTGAGCAGAAAGGGGCCAGCGGAGGCCCAAGGGCGTTTTGTCCCAAACAAAAAGAGGCACCCAACCCCACCAAGTTAAGTTGTAAATAAAGCCCGCTTTCTTCCTCCACCCCTGCATCGAGCCACCTGCCTCCTGCGATCTTCCCAAATCCAGGCCTTCTCTGCTCTCCACTTCCACTGCGTGGATCCTGCCCTCACTAGGGCCTCCTGCCTCTGCTCCAAACTCCTCTCTGTCTAGTCTAGAGCTCTTTAAATCCCTCTTGCCTGAGCTCCTTCCTCCCCTGAGTGTAGACAAGAGCAAGAAGACCAGTTCCATTTTACAGATGAGGAAACTGAGGCTGTGTACAGATAAATCATTTGCTAAAGGTCCCCAGGCCTGGGCGACCCCACAGCCCATCTCTTGTCTACGACTGGACAGCTGGCCTTCCAGCCGGGACCCTCTTCGAAAAGTAAAGCACGCACGACATAGTTCAGGAGTGGAGGGAGGGCACGAGATCTAAAGTCTGAACTCCAGTTTACGAATGAGATAGAATGAGATAAAATTCGGCCGCGGTCTCGTTCACCCTTGCCTCAGTTCGGATGCCAAACGCTTCTTGATCTCCCATCCAGGCGGCTCCCTCTATCTAGAAAACCCAGAGCCACGCCCCCATTTGCTTCCGCCTCCGCGCAGTGCTTTGTAACCTTAGCGGCCGCCGTAACCCCGCCCTCCAGAAAAGCGGCCCGAAGCGCCGACTCCACCTTCACTGGCATGAAGCCCCCTCAGCGTCGGCGAGCGGCCCCGGCGCGCTATCTGGGTGAGGTGACAGGCTCCGTGGCCTGGAGCGCCCGCGAGAAGCGGCAGCTGCTCCGACTACTGCAGGCTCGTCGGGGCCAGCCGGAGCCAGACACCGCCGAGCTAGCCAGGGAGCTGCCGGGCCGGAGCGAGGCCGAGGTGAGGGAGTCCTGGGTAGAGAGCGAGGCTGGAGGCGGGGCTAGGATGTATCCGGGGAGGGCGCCGGGAGTAAGACGAGGCACGGGGCGTGGGCGGGACGAGCGCGAGGCTGGGGGCGGGGCTATCTTGGCAGGAAAGCAGGGGATGTGAGGGGCCTACGCAAGGCTGAGAGGCGGGGCGAGGTGGAGACTGCTGCGGTAGGCTGAGGGGCGGGGCAAGGAGGATGGAGGCAGCGCTGCGGTAGGCTGAGGGGCGGGGCGAACGTCGAGTTCGGACCGAGCAGAGGGTGCACGCTACAGGGCCGATTCCGCGGATGGCGCAGCGGGACTGGGCGGGCATGAAGTTGAAATGAAAGTCAGGAAATGGGGTGGAGTGGGCGAAAGGGGAGGCGAATAGGGTCGTACTTTGCATGGAGGCGGGCCCTGGCTGCAGGGAGGAGCCAGACGGGCCTGGACCTTACATTTTTATTAAGTAGCTGACCACTCCTGGGCCTTGGACCTAGACCCTGGGTAGAGTCCTGTGACCCTTAACAGCGGGCTACGGGAGGCAAGGAGTAGGCAGTGGTCTTTGGCTTCTTTTCTCCAGCCCTGGGCTTATAGAGGGCCCCTTCGGACTCTTTATCCTTTCCAGATTCGGGATTTCCTTCGGCATCTCAAAGGCCGCGTGGCCCGGGAGGCCATTCAGAGAGTGCATCCTGGTGCCCCAAAAGGTTCAAGGCGCCGTGAAACACAGACCCCGGCCCCCATTGAGGTGAGGCAGGGCAAGGTTTCTCGGGGCCAACCCTTAGACCTTAACTTGGTCTGCGGATCCCCAGGAGGGACAGAGCTTGGGGGATTTCCGAGGATTGATCCCTAGGCTGACCGTGTACCTTCTGATTGCCCCACTCAGGTATGGATGGATCTGGCCGAGAAGATAACAGGGCCACTAGAAGAAGCCTTGACTGTGGCTTTCTCACAGGTATAGCCATCCCCTAGGCAGGACAGGGGTGTTCCCGGGGACAGGGTCATACATGAGTCTAAATAAGGTGGACCTGGGCCCTTCTTTTTGCCAGCTCTGTGACTCTGGCCAGTCACGAGCTTCAGTATCCCCTCCTCTGCGGCCATCTCCTGGATGTAATGCCTTCCTCAGGCTGGCAGGGAGGCTTCAGTAGACAGGTAGAGGTGGAGGGCTGTGCACCGTGTGCAAGGTAAGGGAGTGGCGGTTGGAAGGACTTCCGCCTTTCTCTTTCTGATCTCTTTGCCTGTCAGGTGCTCACCATTGCGGCCACGGAGCCCATCAGCCTCTTGCACTCTAAGCCCCCCAAGCCCACGCAGGCGCGCGGAAAACTGCTGCTCCTCAGCGCCCCTGGCGGACAGGAGGGCCCAAGCCCTGAGGCTCGTGGCCCCGCCCCTGAGGGACAGGAGGGCCCAAGCCCTGAGGCTTGTGGCCCCGCACCTTCCAACGACCTGGCTGGCCCCTCTGCCGCGGGAGACCTTGAGGTGGACTTTGAGAAGATCTACAAGTACCTGTCGTCCATCTCCCGCAGCTGCCATGGCCCTGAGCTTTCCGCAGCTGGTGAGAAGGGAGGGGAAGTGGGCGGGGAGGGGGGACTGTGAGGGAGGGGTGCCAAGTGGCAAGCCCTGCCCTCCCCTTATGCCTCCCTTCTCCATCCATCACCAGAGTCAGCTGTGGTCCTTGATCTGCTCATGGCACTTCCGGAAGAGCTGCCTCACCTGCCCTGTGCGGCCCTGGTTGAGCATATGCTGGATACATACGAAAGCCTGACGGCCCCCTACACTGACCCCAGCAGTGGGAGCCAGGGGCCAGGGACTGAGAATTCTAGCACTGGCTCTAGTGGGCAAGAAGAGGCCCTCCAGGCCACCCCCCAGGCCCCTGATAATGCTCAGCGGAGAGAACCGAGATCCACTTGGCAGGCAGCTGGAGTCTGCCCCCTGAATCCTTTCCTGGTGCCCCTGGCACTTCTAGGCCAGGCAGCCACCCCTGAAAAGTGAGAGGCCTGGCAGGCAAAGGACACACCAGCTATCCATGAGTCCTCAATCCTGCTCAGGCTGGCACGGGGTCGTCATGGTGGAAGGTCCTTGACTTGGCGTGCAGTACCGAGTGGCCTTTAAGACGCTCCTTAGAGCAGGGGTCTCAGAAATGGAAGCCCAGTTGTACAGTGGTTCAGCCACAGAACCAAGGTGGGGGCAGCCAGGTGACTAGGCTACAAACACAATCAAATACTCTCCTGGACCAGCCCCTCATCCCTTCCTGCATCCTGTGGCATATGTCCTATAACTGAATAAAGTTGTCAGTCTGCCTTGATCTTTTTCCTGACTTAAAGGTAGGAGTAGGGGCCCAAAGTGCAGAGGAAAATGTCAGAGGAAGTGGAGGCAGAGCTTGGGGTCCCAGGGACCGAGGGGGCCATGCCAGGGAGGAGGGTGTGGTCACCAAAGGCTGCCACTGCCAAGTCTGGTCCGAAGCCACCTGGAGTGACCTTGGTTTGGCCATGAGAGGACCCTTGGTGATTGAAGGATCGAGGCAGACCTGAGCCTGACAGGTGTCCGGGAAAGGTTTTCTGAGTGGGGTGACCTCATACACAGATGGAGGAGCAACACCAGCAGAGTGAGAGCATGTTAGGAGAAATGATTTCCTGGTACTTAATGGGACCATTGCCATCTTACAAAGCAAGCCAACAGCCAGTTTACCCTGGGCGGGGTGGGCCTGTATCACCCGAAAGAAATATGGTTGCATAGACAAGTGGGCCCACTGCCACTGAGCTATATGTACCACGCCTCTGTCCCCTTCTGGTGTGATCTACCCTCTTGCTGCCACTTCTGTCTGTAAATTTCCTTAGTATTTTCTTGATATTCCGGTTTCTCAGTGGTGCAGCCAGGGGGAAGGAGCCAGGCCCAAGGCTGGGGTGCCCAAGGGTTAGAGATGGGCTGTCCCATGTGGCAGGAGTTTGGAGAAAGGGTCCCTTAAGTAGCCTTGGGAAAGAAGCAAGGTGGGGAGAGGGGGAGGAGCAGAGCTGGGTAGAGAGCTGAAGTCCTAGCAGCTGTCAAAGGCCTCAGATTCTAGGAGGTGCTGCTGGGTCTCCCTGCAAGGAGTCCCCCCTCTACCAGCCTCTGTGGGTTCAGGGGCACTGCAGGGTGAGAGTGGGAACCAGGTAACCTCCCACTGCACTGCCTTCCCCCAGGCCTAACTAGTCTCCGAGAGCTGGTAAATTTTCCAAAGAGCCCGTGCATTCACTCAGCCTTCCTTTTATAGACACACTTGCTTCTCCCCACACACATTGCATACGGCTCCCCTGGAGTGCACAACATGTCTCCTGGGTGAGCTGTGGAGTGGAGCCAGCCCACTTCATGATCACTGCTCTCTGGGCACCAGATCCACAGTTTTCTAAGTGCACATGATGTTGGTGGGCAAGAGGCACCATCTCAGAGGGGTTTGGGGCTGCAGGTGGGGTCATGGTAGTTCTTGGAGACCACCTCCAGGGCTGGCTGAGGGCACCCCATCCCAAATCCCCACCCAGCTAAGTCTAGTCCACAGTCCCCAGAGTCTCCCCAGGTCAAGGGAAAGAAGAGAGTGTCTTGGTTGTGTCTGGAGCTGGGGGATCAACATGGTAATACACCAGTCTACCCAAAGTGTGGGTCTGGGTGTCTTAGCGGCACTGGGCAGCTGTTAAGAGTGTGTATAAGTTAGACCTGAATTCAAATTCCAGCTGAGCTAGAATCCAGCTACGTGGTGTGGGCGAGTCACTCAAGGTGCCTGGACTCCCTTGCATGTAGAATGCGGAGGCTAATGTCTCACTCTCAGGGTCCTAAAAGACCAAAAGGCCATGCGCGGGAGAGGGCTAACTCAACATACTGCTTGGTTCAAGTAAGTGCTCAATAATAGCGTTTATTATCACCATCTGCTCAGAGGCAGGGAGGAGCGAGAAGGCATGGGGAGGGTAAAGGAGGGAGCGCCTGGAGGGGGGTGGCAGGAGAGATCAGGGAGAGGTGGTAGGAGAGCCAGTGATGGGTGGTGACTGAGGGAGGGGTGTGCCGATCTGGACTGGGGCATGGGCTGGGGGCCGGAATGAGCCTGCCCATGCTTTCCCTTTACGGAAGGCGCCAAACATCCTGGACACAGGAGCCATTATCAGACTTCGGACTCGGTCTCCGGGGCAGGCTGCGCTGGGCACATTGGTATGCAGCATCCACGCTCACCCTGTGGGTCCAGGAGGGAGCCCAAGGAGGGACTGAACACTTACGGGGGATGGCGGGGGAGTGGGGATGGCCAGACGACAAGGGAGAAGGAGACATAAGGGTCTCCGCATCCAGGAACTCATGCTGGCGGCAGGACAATAACAGAGCCACCCACACGCTGGGGGGGCGGGGGTCGGTGAGTTATGGGGCTAGGACAGGGCGGGATAAAGGCACAGAGTGGGGCTCGGGCCTGCCCGGGAGGGAGGATGGGAGGGTTTGGGGAAGATCTGAGGGGTCTGGGCAGGGAGGGGTTGGACTTCTCACGCCCTTCCCGTGGGGCTGGGCTCTGCAGCGGGATCCTGAGCACAGTCCAGACCGGCGGCAACCCCGTTGGTTGGGCCCCAGGAGAGCGAAGCCATGGAGGGCCGCTGGGGGTGTCGGGTCTCAGACCAGCGCGTAGTCGAACTGGCCGCGCTCGAGCGCCTCCTTGTGGTCGGTCCAGGACGAGGCGGGCATGCGGCTGTAGGGGTCGAGCAGGATGCGCACGCAGCGTACCATCAGGAGCGCCAGCACCACGAGCAGGCAGAGCACGAAGGCGAACACCGTGCGCTGCTCGGCGTCCAGACCCGCGCCCGCCGGGGGCCCCGTCGATGGCGGCAGCGGCTCGGGGGACAGCGTCCAGGTCGCGCTCATGGCTCACATCGCCGCACGCCCTGCGGATGAGGGGTTGGCCCGGGGAGCGGTGATGAGGCTGTGCCTTCCCACGTCGCCCTCCGACCTTGCCTGTGCCCCGTCCCCCGTCTCCGGGCAACGCCCATGCCGGCCCGTGGACATGCCGCTACCGCCACGGGGGGACCTAACTCTGCGCAGGTGGGGTCGCTGAGAGTGGGAAAAAGGAGCCCCGATCCCGCCGGCCCGTGCACAACAGGTGCGACCGCGCGGCCCTGGAGCGCGGCGGGAGCCCGGCCCCGCTCCCCACCCGCTGCCTTTGTTCTCGGAGTCCGGGGGACACCCTCCCCCACCACCACCCCCGCTGTGCCCCTCACCCTGGCCTCCACCGCGATGGGGACCGAGTGCCCGGCGGCGAAGCTCTCCTCCGGGACCTGCGCCGGCTCCGCTCTCGGCCTCTCCCCGGCAGTGGTGGCGGCAGCGGCAGCGGCAGCGGCGGCGGCCCGGGCCCAGCCCAC